CTAAACATTAGATCGCTCACACCTAAGGCGGTTATTGTGAATAAAATGGTCACAGATAATAGCTTCGATGTACTTTGCCTTACTGAAACCTGGCTTAAACCAAACGAGTATTTCGGTCTAAATGAGTCCACTCCGCCAGGATACTGTTATAAACATGAGCCCCGTCTGATCGGCCGTGGCGGCGGTGTTGCAACAATCTATAGAGATATTCTTAATGTTACTCAGAAAACAGGTCACAGGTTTAATTCGTTTGAAGTACTTGTGCTAAACGTTACGCTCTTAGATGTAAGAAAGAAATCCCTATTATCTCTAGCATTGGCTACTGTATATAGACCTCCAGGACCATATGCTGATTTCCTAAAAGAGTTTGCAGACTTTCTCTCAGATCTATTGGTCAATGCCGATAAAGCAATAATTGTTGGAGATTTTAACATACACGTAGATAACACAAATGATGCGTTAGGGACTGCGTTTACAGATTTATTAAACTCCTTTGGGGTCAAGCAGAATGTCAGTGGTCCCACTCATCGTCTAAATCATACACTAGATTTAATTATATCATATGGAACCAATCTAACCGATATAGATATTATACCGCAAAGTGACGATCTCACCGATCATCACATGGTAACTTGTATAATACGTACTGCTGAAATTTGTCATGTTGCGCCACGTTATCGACCAGGCAGAACAATCCTTCCGACCATAGATTCTCAAATAGCTTACCTGATCTATCTCAGCTGCTCAGAGAACCCAAACAAACAGATGAACTAGAGGAAATGACTAGCAGTTTGAGCACCATTTTCTCTAGTACATTAGATATTGTTGCACCAATTAGATCAAAAAAGGTTAGAGAGAAAACTAAAGCACCATGGTACAACAGTGCTACGCATGCTATCAAGAGAGAAACTCGTAACTTAGAGCGTAAATCGAAACAAACTAATTTAGAGGTCTTTAGAATCGCGTGGAAAGACAGTATGTCAGGTTATAAAAAAGCTCTAAAAGCAGCCAGGGCTGAGCATCTCCGCAAACGAATAGAAAATAACCAAAATAATCCAAGGTTTTTATTTAACACCGTGGCTAGACTAACAAATAATCAGACAGCACCAGAGCAAAATATTCCGTTACAGTATAGTTGTAATGATTTTATGAATTACTTCAATGAGAAAATAGAAAGCATCCGAAACACAATTGTAAATGTACAATCCTCTATGGGGTCTTATGATTCAGCCTCAATTATCGCCCCTCAAGAACAACTACACCGCTTTACAACTATAGGACAGGAAGAGCTAAATAAACTTATCATTGCATCTAAACCAACAACATGTTTATTAGATCCAATACCGACTAAACTACTGAAAGAAGTGTTACCTGTAGTGGAAGAGCCTCTTCTCAATATTATTAACTCGTCTTTATCTTTAGGTCATGTTCTAAAAATATTCAAGCTGGCAGTAATAAAACCTCTCATTAAGAAACCGCAATTAGATCCAAATAACTTAGCAAATTACAGACCGATTTCAAATCTTCCATTTATGTCTAAAATACTAGAAAAGACTGTGTCCGCTCAATTGTGCTCTTTCATGCAAGAAAATGAGATATATGAAAAATTTCAGTCAGGATTCAGACCGCATCATAGCACAGAAACTGCGCTAGTTAAAATTACAAATGATTTACTTTTAGCTTCTTACCAAGGCTGTATCTCAATACTAGTTCTACTCGATCTTAGTGCTGCGTTTGACACTATCGATCATAAAATACTCTTGGATCGACTACAAAACTACACTGGTGTTCAGGGACAGGCATTAAGCTGGTTCAGATCGTACTTATCGGACCGTTACCATTTTGTTTGTTTAAATGGGGAAAAATCGAAGATAACGTCAGTAGACTATGGAGTGCCGCAACGATCGGTGTTAGGCCCTCTGCTATTCTCAATATATATGCTGCCACTTGGTAATATTATAAGAAAACATGGCATTAATTTCCACTGTTATGCTGATGACACTCAATTATACACTCACCGGCCACTTTATTAGGTACCCCATGCTAGTAACGGGTTGGACCCCCTTTTGTCTTCAGAACTGCCTCAATTCTTCGTGGCATAGATTCAACAAGGTGCTGGAAGCATTCCTCAGGGAGTTTGGTCCATATTGACATGATGGCATCACACAGTTGCCGCAGATTTGTCGGCTGCACATCCATGATGCGAATCTCCCGTTCCACCACATCCCAAAGATGCTCTATTGGGTTGAGATCTGGTGACTGTGGAGGCCATTTTAGTACAGTGAACTCATTGTCATGTTCAAGAAACCAATTTGAAATGATTAGAGCTTTGTGACATGGTGGAAGTAGCCATCAGAGGATGGGTACATGGTGGCCATAAAGGGATGGACATGGTCAGAAACAATGCTCAGGTAGGCCGTGGCATTTAAACGATGCCCAATTGGCACTAAGGGGCCTAAAGTGTGCCAGGAAAACATCCCCCACACCATTACACCACCACCACCAGCCTGCACAGTGGTAACAAGGCATGATGGTTCCATGTTCTCATTCTGTTTACGCCAAATTCTGACTCTAACATCTGAATGTCTCAACAGAAATCGAGACTCATCAGACCAGGCAACATTTTTCCAGTCTTCAACTGTTCAATTTTGGTGAGCTCTTGCAAATTGTAGCCTCTTTTTCCTATTTGTAGTGGAGATGAGTGGTACCCGGTGGAGTCTTCTGCTGTTGTAGCCCATCCGCCTCAAGGTTGTGCGTGTTGTGGCTTCACAAATGCTTTGCTGCATACCTCGGTTGTAACGAGTGGTTATTTCAGTCACTGTTGCCCTTCTATCAGCTCGAACCAGTCTGGCCATTCTCCTCTGACCTCTGGCATCAACAAGGCATTTCCGCCCACAGAACTGCCGCTCACTGGATGTTTTTTCTTTTTCGGACCATTCTCTGTAAACCCTAGAGATGGTTGTGCGTGAAAATCCCAGTAGATTAGCAGTTTCTGAAATACTCAGACCAGGCCTTCTGGCACCGACAATCATGCCACGTTCAAAGTCACTCAAATCACCTTTCTTCCCCATACTGATGCTCGGTTTGAACTGCAGGAGATTGTCTTGACCATGTCTACATGCCTAAATGCACTGAGTTGCCGCCATGTGATTGGCTGCTTAGAAATTAAGTGTTAACGAGCAGTTGGACAGGTGTACCTAATAAAGTGGCCGGTGAGTGTATATTTCATCATGGCCAGATGAAAACACTAACTCATATAAATTGACAGAGTGTCTTAAAGATATAAAATGCTGGATGACGCATAATTTCCTGCTACTAAATCCAGATAAAACGGAGGTATTACTTGTTGGTCCAAAAAACTATCCACAAAACCACTTACAATACAACTTTAATATAGAAGGATGTCCTGTTACTTTATCCTCTACGGTAAAAGACCTGGGTGTTATACTAGACCGCAACTTGTCTTTCGAAAATCATATTTCATATGTTACAAGAACAGCCTTTTTCCATCTTAGAAACATTGTTAAATTACGTAACATGCTATCGGTTTCTGATGCAGAAAAGTTAGTTCATGCATTCATGACCTCGAGACTAGATTACTGTAATGCTTTATTAGCTGGTTGTCCTGCATCCTCAATAAACAAGCTACAGTTAGTGCAAAATGCAGCCGCTAGAGTTCTTACTAGGTCAAGAAAATATGATCATATAACACCAATTTTATCATCTCTACACTGGTTACCTATCAAGTTCCGTATCAATTACAAAGTACTATTACTGACCTATAAAGCCCTAAATGGTTTAGCTCCTGTGTATTTAATGGACCTTCTATCGCCCTACAATCCATCTTGTTCTTTAAGATCTTTAAATTCGAGGCTTCTGGTCATTCCTAGGATATCTAAGTCCACTAAAGGAGGGAGGGCGTTCTCACATTTAGCTCCTAAACTCTGGAATAGTCTTCCTGATATTGTTTGAGGCTCTGACTCGCTGTCCCAGTTTAAAACTAGATTAAAGACGCATCTCTTTAGCCAAGCATTTACATAATTCTTACCTTTTATACCACTGCTGAATCAGATCAAATGCATTTAATACTATAAAACTTGAAGAGACTGTAGGTTATCTGTATAGGTTGCATAGTATTTGCAGTCATTACGTTCCTGTGTATATTGCGTGAATGACGGGTGGTTGGGCAGATATTGTGTTGCGGTAGGTAGTATGCCATACGGAACCGTTGTCCACTGAAACTGCCTATTCACGCACCAGTGGGGCTCGACAGCCTTAGTCAACGGGTTGGCGCGTATGGTTGGGTTGCGGAGAGATTGTGAGATTGTGGTTAGGTCTCAGCAGCAGGAGGGACGTAGAGGTCAGTAAGCTGGGCTGAGTTGAGTGGGGGACGGAGGGGGGTGATTTTGGGACGCAAGAGTCACTGTCTTCATGTTTTATCATTTACGCCTGTGTTATGGAAATCATCATTATGAACAGCAGCTACGCTAATTATTTTCCCTTTGCTTTTCTGTTGTTATCTCGGGACGTGATAAAACATGAAGACAGTGACTCTTGCGTCCCAAAATCACCCCCCTCCGTTGTTTTAGAAACAAACTTTGTTATATTGTTTTCATGTTATCACTGTGAAGCGCTTTGATACAATCTGTATTGTGAAAAGCGCTATATAAATAAATGTGACTTGACTTGACTTGACTTGTGATGAGCTTTGATATATCATGTGACTCTCATCACTGCTGTGTTGATTGTTGGTTGTCAGTGTATTGCAATAGTACAAAACAGATATTAATACTTCAATAGGTTGGTAAATTATCATTATATCAGTTAATAAATTACGGTTTATTACTGTAAATTTGAAGTTAAGTCTGTAAAACCAAAAACGTTGACATCGTATTTTTGACGGTATAGTTCTGGTAACCACAGCTGCCAGTTTTTTTCCGTAAAAACAACGGGATTTTTTTTTACATTGTAGGAACAAATCAATAAACTTTCTCTCACTGATCCTTCTGGTTCGTATACAGTGATGATTGGTCTGATCACGCGTGTGTGTGACATGTGCAGCCGCTGTTACGACTGAGCACATCGACCTTCTGATCCAACAACCAGAAGTAATAGTTATATGTTCATTCACAATGTAAAAATTTTACATCAGTTGAAAAACCTATATAACCTGTAGATACAAAAATGAACTTTATTTTATGAGAAATATTATAGCTGTTTGAATTGCCGTAAACTTAATCTCTTCAATTCTATTCAAAACTTTTCTCTGTATGTATACTTTATCACTTAAAGTATACAATCATTCTACAACCATTACTCTTCTTCCTTCATTAGTTTCTTTCTCTGATGCAACTAAGCGGCCACTCCCTGAAACCAACACGGAAGTGAATTAAACTGCAGTTCATCGATTGGCCGCCAGAGGCTGGCTGCAACGGTGAGTCAAATCTGCATCTTCCGCATGTTAAAATGCCCAACTTTACAGCAGAATAAAACATGTTTACAGCCTGGAGCAAAAAGTGGTTTTGGTCTATACAGCTAATTTTGCCCTTCATGACGACTGTGAGGGGGTTACCGCTGGACACTGCTAGCCGTTTGTCTGTTAGCGGTCACTTCACCTCAGATAATTCCCGCTGCTGTACTTGCCATCTCTGCCGTGTTTGTGCTTTTTCCGGGATTATTTCATACAATTTAATACACGCATTATACCTTCGCCCGCGCCGTTGGTTTCCGTCGTTGTCGAGTATGGAGAGAACAACCAGCGCTGTATTTCCAGTTGTCTCACAATTTTGTTGCTTTTTGGAGTTCAGATTTAAAAACGTCTATAGATATAGAGACCGCACTCGTTCTGCGCTACTGATGCTCTCACAGAACAGATAGACCATAAGCATATAAGCATGAATAAAGTTTTCTACGAACTTGATGTACGATGCGGCGCTGACTGACATGTATGCGCATGAATCACTATCTCACACACACACACACACACACACACACTCAGAGCAATATTGTAAGTTACTTCATGATAATACATTTTTAACTAGCAGAATAATAATACATGACGATACACAGTCTCACTTTAGCTATGTCTTTTAACTATTGTAGTATTTCGAAGGGAAAAAACATGAACTTTAACTATTGGCTTGACTTCTTCAAGTCAGCTGTCACTTTAGCACGAGGCTAGTAGCATATAGCATTAGCTTCTTAGCCTGAGCTAACTCGATCGCGTCGAGCTAGGGGGCGTGGTCTCAGCTCCACCCAAGCCCCGCCCCTTTGCCCATTCTCAGTTATCCGGGAGTGACGCGCTGCCAAGATGGCTCCGCCGGCTCCGCCCACTTTAGGCTTTAAACAACGCTCTTCAGAAACCTACGGGTGACGTCACAGACACTACGTCCATATTATTTTTACAGTCTATGGATTCAACACACAAAAAAAATTATGGCTAGCTTAGGTTAGCATATACGGTGAGCGGCAAAGGACATAATCGTCAGCCATGGGTTTAACATGCAATCAAACCTGTGTGACCATAGGAAACCTTATTATTATTATTATCTTTTATTTTGAATTAAGAATGTTTAATCAGAGAGAAAAATACGGAGCCCCTAAAGGAAGAAAAAATATAAGATGAGAGGAAAAAAAAATGTCAATGCTTATGCGTTCCCCCAAGAAACTCTGCGTTCGCTCACAAAAACGTTTGTTTTCCGTCAAGAAACTTTCACTCGCAAAGGTTTTGTGAGCGGACTTAGTTTCTCGCAAAGTTTTTGAAATATGACAGTGAAAGAAGTAAATTAGATCAACCCAAGTATGAATATATTTATAATTTTTAATTTACAATTACATTTTTTTTTACTAAACGTACCATTTAAAAAGAGTGTACAAGTAGTTGTGAAATGTACAGCCTTTGTTACGCAAAGATTTTTTTTATTTATGGACTGACAAAGAGTAAATTGTTGGTATATTTTCAACTTAAAATAAGTGTATTGGAAATGTCAATCAACAAGATGAAGTGTTTAGTGAACAATGTTTGTCCAGTAAAGGGTAAAGGGTTGAGGAGCCGACCAATGACAAGTTCCCAGAATGCTCCTCTCATGAATATGATTAAATACTCGCTAACTCTGCATTATATGTTCATATATACACACTACTATCATTACATATGGGAACTAGCTTATATCACTGATATATGACAATATGCATCAAATGTCAAATGATAGCAGAGACTTCAGTTTGTAACCAGCGCAAACTGAGCGCTGGCTGGTCTTCCAGCTTGCTCTGTCAAACCTCTACAATTGATCCAGAATGCTGCAGCCAGAGTAGTCTTTAATGAGCCGAAGAGAGCACAAGTCACTCCTCTCCTCACACAATTGCACTGGTTGCCAGTTGCCGCTCGCATCATACTGTTGTCGACTACATGCTGCTTCTTGTCTGGTGGCTGGTGTTGCCAGATTGGGTGTTTTTTTCGCTACATATTAAGGCCTGTTTACGTGTGTTTTAGCCGGGTTTTCGTCTGGAAGGCTCTATAGAAATCTGGCACCCTATTAAACGAAGTAAAATTGAGAGAGCGTGCGTTCACAGACACCAGAATGAACGAGTTCACAGTAACGTTCATCAGGCAGTAATACAGTACGTTCAGTTCACGTTCGCCCAAAATATGAACGAGTTCATGAACTATCGTTCAATGAACGCGCTCAGCACAACACTGATTACAGTGTAACCCTGAGATGTTCTCTTTCCAATGGGAACTCGCACTGCATCCTAGGACACTAATGAGACTGCCCTGCTCTCAGTAATTGAAGCTCTGAGACTGGCAAGAGCAGCTTCCAAATCCTCAGTCCTCATCCTGCTGGATCTGTCTGCTGCTTTTGACACTGTTAACCACCAGATCCTCCTGTCAATCCTAAAGATGAAGGGCATCTCGGGAACTGCACTCCAATGGTTCGAGTCTTACCTCTCAGGTAGGTCCTTTAGGGTGTCGTGGAGAGGTGTGGCATCTAAGACCCAACATCTAGCTACTGGGGTGCCTCAGGGCTCAGTGCTTGGACCACTCCTCTTCTCCATCTACATGACATCACTAGGATCTGTGATTCAGAAACATGGCTTTTCCTATCATTGCTACGCTGATGACACACAACTCTACCTCTCATTCCAGCCTGATGATCCGACGGTAGCTGCTCGCATCTCAGCCTGCCTGAAAGACATTTCTGGCTGGATGAAGGACCACCACCTTCAACTAAACCTTGCGAAGACAGAGCTACTTGTGGTCCCGGCCAACCAAACACTTCATCACAACTTCTCCATTCAGCTAGGCTCGTCATCCATAACTCCATCAAGGTCAGCTAAGAACCTTGAGGTTGTAATTGATGATCAGTTGAAATTCACAGACCACATTGCTAGAACTGCCCGGTCCTGCAGATTTGCCTTGCACAACATTAGGAGGATCAGGCCCTTCCTTACAGAGCATGCTACACAACTCCTTGTCCAAGCACTTGTTTTATCCAGACTGGACTATTGTAATGCTCTCCTGGCTGGTCTTTTGACAGAAAATCTGCTGCGAGGTTCAGAACCCCTGGGACATGAACCGCTCTTAGAGATAGGAATCTGCTCTGAGACCACAGGAGAAGGTGACGCGCATGCCTGTCTAGGGTGTGCGACCGAGAACCTCCCTGCCGGTTCACATGAGACACCACTGCCATGTTGTCTGTTCTGACAATGACATGGTGACCCTCCAGAAGAGGGAGGAAATGATGCAGAGCCAGAAAAACAGCTCTTAACTCCAGGCAGTTTATGTGCCAAGAGAGAGCCTATCCGGTCCAGACCCCACACGCTGGTCTGCCCTCGAAAACCGTTCCCCAGCCGGTGAGAGAGGCATCCGTCGTAATCATCTGGCGACGAGACACCGCACCCATGCTGACCCCTTTCCGAAGAAAAAGAGGGTCCCGCCAAACTGACAGGGCTCGAAAGCAACTGCGCGATACCTTCAGTAGGCGAAGGGTTGACCCGGAGGTTCGAACCCCTGAGAGTTTCATCCACCACATGAAGGGTCTCATGTGGAGTAGCCCCAGCGGTAGCACGGAGGAGGCCGCGGCCATAAGGCCCAGCATCCTGCGGCAGGTGCCCACAGACACATGATGGCCTAGCAAAAAACGAGCCAAGCATGTCATCAAGCTGGAAATCCGTGCAGGGGCCAAGCGGGCCTGCATGAGAACGGAATCCATGTTCACCCCCAAGAAAACGGTGCTTTGAGCCGGAGCAAGAACACTCTTCTCCGAGTTCAACCTCAAACCGAGAGACTGGATATGACTCAGAACGATGTCTCTGTGGTGGGCCACTGGCTTCCTGGACTGGGCTAAAATGAGCCAATCGTCCAGGTAATTTAGAACACGGATGCCCTGGAGCCGCAATGGGGCCAGAGCTGCATCCATGCACTTTGTGAATGTCCTCGGGGCCAGAGATAGGCCGAAGGGAAGGACCCTGTACTGGAACGCCCTTTCTCCAACGGCGAACCTGAGGAACTGCTTGTGTCGCTGTACAACCTGGATGTGAAAATAAGCATCCTTTAGGTCTATCGTCACGAACCAATCCCCTGGCCGAATCTGAGATATGATAGCTTTCAGCGTCAACATCTTGAATTTCCCTTTGTAAAGGGCGAAGTTCAGTCGGCGGAGGTCCAGTATGGGACGCAAACCGCCGCCCTTCTTCGGGACCAGGAAGTAACGGCTGTAAAAGCCCCGCTCGGTTTCCCCTGGAGTAATCTCCTCTATTGCTCCTTTGAGAAGGAGGGAAGAGATTTCCTGCTGAAGTACAGAAGCCTGAGTGGCGCTGTCTACTACAGTAGGAAACACCCCGTTGAAACCGAATTGTGCGAAGAACCCAAGACGATACCCCTGGTAAGCGCTCCCACACTGGAAGGAAATGTGATAGAGGAGGAGGGATGTTGTAATGCAGACGACATACCTGAGTGAGGGTGCCGTGTTGACGCTCCTGGAATAAAGAGGTTGACTGTGCAGGAGGGCCATCGGCGTCCTGGCACGTGATGGGAGGCATCGATGCTGGGGTCATGGTGACCAGATCCGCCTGCTCCAGAGGAAAACGGAAAGTG